CAGAGGTTTCGTTGTGTTGTATTGTCCTTTTTCTTGAATTCCAGGATACTTTTATTCCTTTCTTAATTTCTCCTTTGACCCTTTTACCGTAAGGTAGTGCCTGTCCTTGAAAGTGAGATGGGTTTCTTGAAGACAGCAATGAGACAGATTTTGTTTCTTAATCAATTCACTTAGCCTGTGTGTTGTGACTGGGGAGTTCAGTCCATTGATATTTAAGGTTATTATTGAAAGATGTGTATTGGTTGTCATCATTTTGATTGCTGTTTGTGTTCTCTAATGTTGTGTTTCCTCGATTATACCTTTATTTACTTTCTTTCATTGCCCCTGGGGTATAGTTGTTTCTCTTTATGCTCTCTGTATTGCTTCAAGTATTCTTTGAAGGGCTGGTTTTGTGAACATGAATTCTTTCAGCCTATTTGTGTCATGGAAGATTTTTCTTTCCCTTTTGACGATAATAAATATTTTGGCTGGTAAAGTAATCTGGGTTGGCATCTGTTCTTGAATTCCAGGATACTTTTATTCCTTTCTTAATTTCTCCTTTGACCCATTCATTGTTTAGGAATGTGTTGTTTAATTTTCATGAGTTTGTGTAGTGACTAGGGCTTCTTCCAATGTTGATTTTGAGCATTATTGCATTGTGGTCTGATAGAATGCATGGAATTATTTAAACTGTTTTTGTATTTGTTGAGGTTTGTTTTGTACCCCAGCATGTGGTAAGTTTTTGAAAATGTTCCATGGGGTGCTGAATGGAAAGTGTATTTTTTGGTGCTTGGGTGGAATATTCAGAAGATGTCTGTTAGGTCCATTTGATCTTTTGTGTCATGGAAGTTTTATCTTTCCCCCTCAACTATAATAGACATTTTTGTTGGATAAAGTATTCTGGGCTGACATCTATTGTCATGTAGAACTGGAAGTACCTATGTCCAGGCTCTTCTGGCTTTCATAGTTTGCATTGATAAGTCAGCTGTAATTGTGATGTGTTTTCCTCTGTATGTGACCTGTTGCTTTTCTTTTGCTGCTTTCAGTATTCTCTCTTTGTTCTGTACATTCATTGCTTTTACTATGATATGTCATGGGGACTTTCTTTTCTTATCCTGTCTATTTGGTGTTCTATGTGATTCCAGTATTTGTATGTGGATGTCTGTATGTGGATGTCTTTCCTTAATTTCAGGAAATTCCTTTCTACAACCCTGTCTAAAATATGGTCAACACAGACGTCTCTGTTTATTCTTTGTCTGGTTGAGCTGTCTAACGGAGGCAGTGGGCTATTGAAGTCCCCTACTGTTACTGAGTTGGGGTTTATCTATGACTTAAAGTCCTGTAGTGTCATTTTTACGAATTTGGGTACACCAGAGTTTGGTGCATATATGTTTATGATTGTAATTTCTTCTTGGTTAATTGTTCCTTTTATCTGAATGAAGTGACCCTCTTTATATCTTCTGATTAGTTTTAGTTTAAAGTGTATTTTGTCAGATAATAGAATTGCAATCCCTTCTTGTTTCTTTTCATGGTGTCCCACATCTCCTTCATATTACATCCCTGTGTTTTTGAAAATAAATTCATAATTTTCCTTGAGTGGTCCAGTTCTTCAATTTTATACTCCAGTGTTGAGATTCTGTTTTCCATTTCATTCATTTTTATTCTGTACATTTAGTGTTTTTAGTGTTTTTACTATGATATGTCATGGGGAGTTTCTTTTCTGATCCTATTTGGTGTTCTATGTGCTTCCTGTATTTGTATGGGGATGTCTTTCTTTAATTCCAGGAAATTCTCTTCTACAATCCTGTTTAAAATCTGGTCAACAACATTAACCTGAAATTCTTCTCCATCCTCTATTCCTATGATCCATAGATGTTGTCTTCTCATAGTCTCCTACATCTCTTGCATATTCCATTCCTGTGTTTTTTAAAATTCTCCATAATCTTTGCTCAAGCAGTCTAATTATTCAACTTTATTCTCCAGTGTTGACATTCTGTTTTCCATTTCATTAATTCTAGCAGTGAGGCTTTTCCCTGTTGTTTCAAGTCAGCTTATTGAGTTTTTCACTTCCTTCTTCATTTTTACCTGAGTTTTCATCAATGTTTCTATCTCTTTTGTGAATTCATTCAGAAGTTTATCCCTATCTTCTTTTAGCTCTTTGATTTGTTTGTTCATGTGTTCTTTAAATTCGTTGAATTCCTTGATCATATTTATGATTGTTCTTTAGTGCCCTAGGTTATCTCTAGGGGGTTTTCCTTGTAGAACTTTTCTACAGAATTGATGGAGTTTGGGGGGGGGGACAGAGTGTTTTGGCTTTCCATTTTATTATTATTTTGTTGTGGTTTTGGCATGTGAATTTCTTTTGTTGTTTATGATTCTGATATGAGAATTAAGTTGAAGTATGCTTTTGTTTGTATTATCCAGGTGCCTAGATCCTTTCTTTATTGGCTATGTAAAGCTTCTTGGTACAGGGTTCAGGTTCTCTCAGGTTTATTTTGGATGGAACTGATGGCTTCAGATCAGCTATTCAGGGGTACCCACAGAAGCCCAATTCAGGTTCCAGTCAAGTACACTCAGGCTTCCTTCACCACGTGGAGGCAGTATATAGGTGCTCTCAGGCAGTCCCCTGGGTTCTTAACCCTATTCCAGAGGGAAGCCAGAGGGAGGCCAGAACTGGGCACTCTCTGTGGTTTGCTGATATCCGAGTCCCTGCACAGATGGAGGCCTGAATCTACCCTCTCAGGCTGTCTGCTAGGATCTCAGCCTTAGCCTACCAGAGCCAGATCTGCCCTGGGGCCTTGGGAGGGGCCTCACAAAACCCCAGGTAGGGGCCATGGGTATGGCACAATTAGGGGAAGCTCACCACCATGTGGAGGCAGGATCCGGGGGCTCTCAGGAAGTCCCTTGGGTTCTCAGGCCCTCTGTTAGATGGAGGCCAGAGCTCAGCAGTCTCTGGTGGCCTGCTGAGATTCGAGCCTGCTACACTGATGTGGGTCCAAACCCACCCTCTCAGGCTGTCTGCTAGGATCTCAGTCTTAGCCTATCAAAGCCAGATCTGCCCTGGGGCCTTGGGAGGGGCCTCAAAAAACCCCAAGTAGGGGGATGGGTATGGCACAATTAAGGGAATCTCACCACCACATGAACTCAGGATCTGGGGGCTCTCAGACAGACCTCTGGGTTCTCAGGCCCTCTGTTAGATGGAGGCCAGAGGAGAAGACAGAACTAGGCACTCTCTGGCAGTCTGCTGTGATCTGAGCTGCTATACCGATGGAGGTCTGAACCCACTCCCTCAAGCTGTCACAACTGCCTTTTCAATGCAAGCTACAAAAGTCAGAAGATCCTGGACCAAAATATTTCCAGTTCTAAAGGACCATGGATGCCAACCACAAAGACTTTATTCAAAACTTTCTATGTTGAAGGGGAATGGAAAATTTTCCATGACATAAATAGACTGTCCAACAAACCAGGCCTACAGGACTGAAGACAGGAATGAGTATACCCAAGAGGTTACAGAAAGAAAACAAAGAGAGGTATAAGAATAGAAACACAAAATAGGACGAAGAACACAAACAAGTTTAAATGATGGTAACAAACACACACTTTCAATAATAACTATAAATATCAATGGCCTCAACTCCTCAGTCAAAAGACACAGGTTAGTGGAATGGATTAATAAGGAAAATACAACTTTTTGTTGTCTTCAAAAAACTCATTTCATCTTAGGGTAAAAGGATGGAAAAAAATGTTCCAAGCAAATGGCTCTAAGAAGCAAGCAGGTGTTGCAATTCTAATATCTGACAAAATAGACTTCAAATTAAAACTAATCAGAAGTGTTGAAGAGGGTCACTTCATTCTAATCAAAAGAACAATCAATCAAGAAGATATTACAATCATGAACATATATGCACCAAACTCGGGCGCACCCAATTTCATAAAAACAGTCCTATAAGAGTATAGAACACAGATCAACCTTAACTCAGTAACAGTGGGTGAATTCAATACTGCACTGTCTCCAAAATAGAGGTCAACTGGATGAATAATAAACAGAGACATCTGAATTAAATGACATGTTACATTAGTTGGACCTAACAGACATCCCAAGAATACACTTTCTAATCAGCAGATGATGCAAGTTTCTCAGAAAGTGACCACATACTGGGACCCAAAACAAATGTCAAAAAATACAAAGAGCTGAAATAATTCCACACATTCTATCAGACAAAAATTCAGTAAAGCTTAAAATCAACAAAAGAAGTTCTATTAACTATACAAACTCATGGAGATTAAACAACATATTCTTGAGTGATGAATGGGACAAAGAATGATTTAAGAAAGAAAATATATTCCTGGAACTAAATAAAAATGAGAATATAACACAACAAATCTCTGGGACACTTTAAATGCAGTTCTTGTTTGACTCCTAGAGCTTGAAGGTAAGACCTTATAGTTGAAGATAGGTTACACTTCATACACAGGAATTGGAACAATTGAACTGGATCTGAATTGAAAGAGTCCTCCTAAAAGACTAGTTCTTATGGTTTCAGAGGATACTGTGTAAGCTGCTAAGGGATAAAACCAAGCAATGGTGCCTACCCAGCTGTAAGCCTAATAACCAACAATGACTAGCCCAGCACACTATCGCTATTGGTGCAGTAGTGGTACTTTTATCTTGGGGGGCAATCAACAGTTACCTAATTGGAATTAAGTCCCATTTATTGGGAGGGAATTCATGTATAGATCAACTCTACAGTCCATGTTAGATATATGAGAGTGCATCAAATTGGGCAGGGGGCATAGTGGATGGAGGTACAAATAAGGGAGGGGATCTAAACATCATCAAAGTATATTGTATGAAAATTGCAAAAATTCAGTAAAAATAAATGAAAAATTTAAATAAAGTTCACTAGCCTCCCTATAATGCCCCCTGTGGTCCCAATGAAAACTAAATGGAAAAAAAATGTAATATTCACATAAATACATTTATTAGATAAAAGTAGGTAAATATCCTAGGTGTATTACCATTATAAAGAGATTCTCTTATTTAACAGAACTCTTCTCAGGGCTTCCTTCATGTCTCTGTTCCTCAGGCTGTAGATAAAGGGGTTCAACATAGGAGTCACCACTGTGTACATTAAAGCCATAACAGTCTCCTTCATAGTTGAATTGTTAGCTGATGGACATAAGTAGAGGCCAATAACTGTTCCATAGAACAGTGACACCACAGACAGGTGGGAGCCACAGGTGGAGAAGACCTTATGGATACCCTGAGTAGATGGAACCTTTAGGATGGAGGAGACAATTCGTGCATAGGACAATGTGATGAGTATGAATGGGATAACAATGTTGAGTCCACCCATGATGAACATAAGCACCTCATTAGTAATGGTATTAGAGCAGGCCAGCTCGAGTAGAGCAGATATATCACAGAAAAAGTGGGGGATCACGTTGTCCTCACAGAAAGATAATCTGGCCATGAGCAGGGTGTGCAACATAGCATGGAATGTGGTCAGCACCCAGGACAGCACCACCAGCCACACACACAGCTTGGGGTTCATGATGCTGGTGTAGTGCAGAGGGAAGCAGATGGCCACATAGCGATCATAGGCCATGACCACAAGGAGGAAGCTTTCCATGTCTCCAAAAAGAAAGAAGAAATAAAGTTGTGTCAGGCAGCCTGCATAGGGGATGGATGGTACTTGGCTCTGCATGTTCTGCAAAAATTTGGGCACTGTGACAGAGGAAAAGCAGAGGTCAGAAAAGGATAGGTTGCTGAGAAACAAATACATGGGTGTGTGGAGATGGGAGTCCAGTTGAATGAGGACAATGATGAGAAGGTTGCCTAGGATGGTGGTGAGGTACATGGCCAGGAGCAGGGCATAGAACAGATGCTGGTGCTCTGGTGGGATGGGCAGGCCCAGGAGGAGGAACTCTGAGATCACAGTTTGATTGTTTCCAGGCATTACCCTACTGCAATAGCTGTAATGCAAAAATAATAGGATACTTTAATATTCCAAATAAAAATGAGCACATAACTATGACCAGTTTTGTGTACTAATTGATCTCATAGTCATCACGATAATCATAATTTCCAAACTCTAAATGTTTCCAATAATTAAAATAATTATTGATGACATTTTTTTGTTTTGTTTTGTTTTTTGAGATGTGGCTTTCCTATAGTCCCAGCTGGCCTAGAACTTGCTGTGTAGACCAGGTTGGCCTTGATCTTACAGAGATTTATATCTCTCTGCCTCCTGACTGCTGGGATTAAAGGTATGTGCCATCAGGCCCAGCCTTAATGACATTTCCATATTC